GAACTTGGGCCCTTGCATTTTGCAAGGCAGGCAGCAAAACCACTGAGCTAAATCCCGGCCCTCTTTTTGAAACCCCAAAAAAGAGGAGTTTTCAAGGATGTTTTAGTGAAAAATTTCCAACACACACAAAAGATAGCACACACATCACTTGGGTCTAGTGATTGCCAAGACTATGGATTTGCTTTGATCTCCCCTTTTTTCTTTTCTTAGCTGAAGCATTTTAAAGTAGATGACATTTTATTTTGTTCCCGTACATGACAACACCCATGTGCAAAAAAGAACATTTTCGAGTATGTGTCTGTGGTTCTGTGGCGCTGCGGTTCAAACCAAGACTCACACACGCTTTATCCCTGAGCTAAAGCGCCTGTTTCACATATGTAAGATAGGTTCCATAAGTATTCTTCACACTTCTAAAGAATTACTTGATTTTCCGTATTAATGAAACCACATAGCACAGTCCATTCCCAGTAACTGAGAACTAGAATTTAACTGCTATCTTTTTTGAGAGCTGTGGCCCTCCGATCTAAATGGAAACACTTTTAACAGAATGATATGCCAAAGCACGGGCTGAATTTTAGCAAAGACTGAGAGCTATTTACCCATGACCCTAAGGGAATTGTGTGAATTAGGACTGCTACAGCTTGAATGTGTCCCCCAAAGTGTATGTGTTGGAAATAATCCTCCGGGTCATGGTGCTGGTCAGTTCATGAGGGCAGAACCCTTGCGGAGTCATGCAGTTCCTTCTTTTAGTTTTGCAGTATAGGGATTGAACCCAGTATATTCAGACTGAACAACATCCCCAGTTTGTCTTTTTATTATTTTATCATCATCACCACCACCATCACCATCATCATCACTGCAATTTATTTTAAAACAAGGTCTCACTAAGTTGCCTTGGCTGGTCTCAAATTTATGACTCTCCTGCCTCAGCCTCCATGCGGGGATTCCAGGCGCGCAGCACCATGGCCAACTAGATGTCCTTTCCTTAGGAGAGTCCCTGTGCAGGTGAGAGAGGTTTCGTTACAAAAGCAAGTTCAGTCCCCTCCTACCCTACTGTCTTCCAGCAGAGCAGCAGGAAGGTCCTCACCCGTTCGGAACCCTCAAGTCCAGAATCCCCAATCTCCAGAGCCATAAGAAACAACTTTCTGTGCTTTATAAACTGTCCAGTATCAGGGGTTGGGTCTCAGCAGCACAAAACGGACGAAGACATTGCCTCCAGAGAGCAGTCAGAGAGGCCCCTTGGAGTTCTGCTAAGGAGTCTGGCTACTGCTGCAAGGGCAGAGCTGCTGAGAGCTCACCTGTGCAGGTAGCTGGAATTGCTCAATTTTTTTTTCAGCAAGGATATTTAATCTTTCCCCCCCCCATTAAGTTTATTTATTTATTTACTTATTTTTGGTACTGGGGATCGAACTCTGGTCCTTGTGCTTGCAAGGCAGGTGGCGGAACCGCTGAGCTAAATCCCCGGCCCTATCCATTAAGTTTATTGGTACGTTTAAAGCACACAATACAGTTACACTTATCATCATGATCTTGTACCTTTACATGATGTATCTTGGTTCTTGTTTTTTCCTCATACCCTTGCCCCCCTTCACCCCCTTCACCCTTCTCTATTTACAAAGACTTTGTTTCCATTTTTTCACATTTTTTCTTTTCCCTTATTTCCTTTCCCCTCCCCTTCCCACTTCCCCTTTAGCCATTTTCTTCCTATTTTGCCCTCTCAATTATACCATTTGAACCTTATTTATACTTTTAGTTTTTCACACCAGAGAAACTACTCAGTATTTACTCAAGTGTGTCCCATTTATTTCACTTGAGTATAGCCTCAGCGTGCATCCATTTAGTTATGGATGTTTCTAGTTTCTCATTCTTTATGGCTGAGTAGTACTCCATTTTATAGAAAAACCACATCTTCTTTGTCTAGTCTCCAGTTGATGGACATTTGGGTTGTTTCCAAGTTTTAGCTGTTACAAACCATGTCACTATAAACATGGGTGCATATATATCACTGTGGTATGAGTCTTTTAATTCTTTGGGAAAGATACCCAGCAGAGGGATAGCTGGGTCAAATGGGACCTTTAATCCTAGTTCTTTGAGGTATTTCCATATTGATTTCCACAGTGGTTACACCAATCTGCACTCCCACCAACCATGGAGAAGGGTTCCTATCTCCCCACAGCCCCACTAGCATTTATTATTGGTTGATTTCTTGATAGCAGCCATTCTTTCTGGGGTAAGGTGGAATCTCACTGTTGTTTTCATCTGCATCTCTCAAACGACCAGTGATGTTGAACATTTTTTCATATATTTATTTGATGCTTTTACTTGTTTGTCTGAGAAATGTCTGTTCATTTGAGAAGACCATTTTCTAATCGGGTCTTTGCCTATGGGGTGTCTTTTTTGAGCTCTTTATATATTCTAGATAGTAGTCCTTTGTCTGAGTAGCTGGAAAAATTTTCTTTCCCACATTGTAGGTTGTCTCTTAGCTCTATTGATGATTTCTCTTGCACTGCAAAAACTTTTTAATACAATGAGATCCCAGTTGTTGATTCTTTGTGTAAGTTCTTGTGCTGCTGAGGATTTGTTCAAAAAGTCTGCTCCCATGCCAAAGTCTTTGAGAGTTCTACCTAATTTACTTTCCAGTAAGTTTAGTGTTTTTGTTTTGATATTTAGATCTTTAATCCACTTGGATTTTAGTTTAGTGCATGGTGAAAGATGGGGATCTAGTTTTAATCTTTAGCAAGTTAAAAGCCAGTTTTCCCAACACCATTAATTAAAGAGGCTATCTTTCCTCCAGTGAGGATGGTTGGCTCCTTTGTCAAAGATGAGGTAGCTGAGTATGTCTGGTGTCATTTCTGCATCTTCTA